CCTGGGCAGTGTGGACTGTGAGCTGTGTGTCCTGAGCAGTGCGAGCTGTGTGTCCTGAGCAGTGCTAGCTATGTGTCCTGGGCAGTGTGAGCTGTGTGTCCTGAGCATCCTCCTGTTTGATGTGCTGCTTTCCCTTGAGCGAGGAGGTGTGTTTATTTACTCACTCGGCAGTGGATCTGGTGCCTCCTGAGTGTCAGCTGTAGATACTCAAGTTTTCTGACCAAACAGTAGCAAATGAGACATTTCTGCCCTCAAGGAATTTCAGTTTTGGAGAAGGAGTCAGACACATGGCATTGTGGATAAAGAAGTAAAAGAAGGTGGGAGTTAGGTCACTCAGGAGGAGGAGGCGTGTCCTCCTGTGCTTGTGTTGCTGCTGAGTAGTCCCATGGCAGATGGACCCTGAGCAGATCTCACTGTGGAACTTGCTGTTAGAGAGCTCCTCCGTGTGATGTCTTCTAGCGCAGAAGGTTCTGCTGTCGAGGGAAAAGGAACAGAGCTGTGCTTGGTGGAGAGCTGGTGGGCAGAGGAGCCAACCAGAGCAGACCTTCTGGTGCCATTCGCTGCCCACCATGCGGCGCATCCTGTGGAGACTCAACTGCAATGTTATTTTGCTTTCCCTAGATTTTTGTCTCCTTTTACTAGCTACACTTACCATGACCTTACCTAGAAAACTGTCTTCTCAGAAACGGAGTTTAAGTGAAAAGGACACAGAGCTGGCCGGTCCTTTCTGGGAGTGGACGTCACGGGAGGCAGGTTCACAGGGAGGCCGGAGTGGGAGGCTGGGGCAGCACTGCAGACAGACACTGTGGCAGCATTTCCCTCCACAGTGCCGTGTGCTGAGGGGTCGGGGAGTGTAGGCATGGCACAGGGGCCAGGGTTGGTTAGGAAAATGGTACCAGATGGCAGGTTCTGTCTAGCTGGAACTTAAGGGCGCAGGCACTTTCCAGGGCTGAAGACAAGGTGAGGGGAGGCTGCCGGAGCCAGACCTGGAGTGTTGTCAAGTGTTCTGCCAGTTGAGCAGCGTGGCAGTCTGCTCAGGTTTTGCTCTGTCCAGTGCATACTGTAGCTGCTGTCTCCCCGGAAGCACAGTGGGATTGCTTGTTTTGTACGGGGACTGTGGCTCAGGCTGCCCTTAGAGGTGTGAGCTTCCCAGATGGTAGGGTACAGCACGCTCCCCCACTCCCAGCTAAAAACCTGCAGCTAAGGGTGGACGGGAGCGGTAATGTTGGAGGCACCGAGCAGACCCGGAGTTCTGTTTGTCGCCAGCAGTCAGCCCTGGTGTGGAGGGGCCGCTGTCCCCTGTGAGGCGCGCTCAGGTTCAGCAGAGTGCAGGCGGGTTTGGGCATTTGTGTCCTCGCTCCCAGCCTCCTAGAGGCTTCCTTTTCTCCCCTGGGTTTTCTCTCTTTCTTGACATGGTTGTTAAGGAAAAGGACTAATTTAAGGAACCCAGAAGGTGATTCTCTACAGCCTGTGTCTAAAATGACTTCGTATGTAAAGGGCTGTGTGAGCCTTGGGGGATGCACAATTTGGCTTTCTCCGGCAGACACCCGTTTGTGATCTCTAGGCCCAGCCGTAATGAAACACTCTCTCTGAATTCCCCAACTATTAGAAAGCCTGGTCTGTGAACTGGGTGTTTGGAAATGCAAGGCAGTGAGTGATAAGGACTGATGGTCAGGCTGATATTATCTCACTGGGACTTTGTGAGAGAGAGGAAACTAGTAAGAAACAGGCCCATGAGGAGAGATAAGTGGGAAAGAAAAGGTACTTCACAAAAATAATCCGTGTGGCTCAGTGGCTAAGAGTGCTTGCTGCTCTTGCAGAGGGCCTAGTTCAGTTGTCAGCACTCAGTGGCCCACAGCAGCCTATAGCTGCAGCTCCTGAGGCTCTAACCCCATTCTCTGGCCTCCACAGGCAGCGCACAGGTATGTATAACATGTAACACAAAATGCAAATAAGAAATATATTTTTAAAATCTCTGAAGGGCTGGAGAGACGGCTCAGTGGTTAAGAGTACTTGTTCAGGGCTGGAGAGATGGCTCAGAGGTTTAAGAGCACTGACTGTTCTTCCAGAGGTCCTGAGTTCAATTCCCAGCAACCACATGGTGGCTCACAACCATCCAGAATGAGATCTAGTGCGCTCTTCTGGAGTGGAGGCGTACGTGCAGACAAATTTAAGGGGGGAAAAAAGAGTACTTGTTCTTTCGGAGGACCCAATTTCAATTCCCAGCGCCCATATGGCAGCTCACAACCATCTGTAACTCCAGTGTCTTCATTTGGCCTCCAGTGGTACACACACTCACAAATGTGACGAAACATTCATGCACATAAAATAAATAATAGTAATTTTTAAAGCACCTCCCTAAGATGTGCGCACGCCTATAATCCCAGCACATGGGGAGGCAGAGGCAGGCGGAACTCTGGACTCATCAACCAAGGCTACACAAGAAACCCCATCTCAAAAACTGAAGGGGGGGAAAAAGCACCTCCCTAACATTAAAAAGAAGTCTCCCAAAGTATGAGAAACTGAATGTTGCAACATTGTCAGAGGGGAACGCAAAAAGACAAGTAAGCATAGAGTCTAGACAAACACTGCTGTTTTCAGTATTTCGGGAATAGTTCGCTGTGTAGCCGGGAAAACTCTCAGCACATTAGCGAATGTCCTGCAGAATGCTGGCATTCCTTAAAGCAGCAGCAGCAGAGGGGAGGACGGGGAGCTTCTCTGTGTCTCTAGTCACGGGAAGAGCTGTACTGCATGCCACATGCAAACCAGCAAGAGCAGAAAGGCTGCTCCGTTCACCTGCAGCTGAGACCGCAGTGTGGCTACACAGAAAGGCTGGGCAGCTAATGCCGCCGAGTGTGGCGGGAACAGTTCTCACTCGGCACAGGCTTGCAGCGCCTGTGGCATGTCAGGCCCCGTCAGCTCTAGGCCTTTGTGCTAATGTTTCAGGCATATTGTAAGTGCTCACGCTTTCAGAGTTCATTTTGTGTGTGTGTGTTTGCCTGCATGTATGTCTGTGCATCCTGTGTGTGCCTAGTGTCCATGGAGGCCAGAAAAGGGTGTTGGACCGCCTGGAACTAGCGTTCCAGACCATTGCGGATTGATGCGGGTGCTGGGAATTCAGTCTGGGCCCCTGCAGGAGCAGCAGGTTGGTGAGCCGTCTCTCCGACCCTGCTCTTCAGGGTAGAACCCCAGACCTGTTCTTAGTGCTCAGCTGGAGGGCCTCGGCCACACTGCCCAGTCGAGCCTCTCTGGCTGGACCATCAAGGGGTGATACGCCTTTCTGCGCACATGTGCTGTGTTTCTGAGGACAGAAAACACAGGTAGCACTTACAGTGGATGTCATCTAGTAGGAAGCCACTCTAACGTTGCCTTTGCTGTGATCTTCAGAGAAATTAACCACCCCAAACAAAACAAAAAAACAAGTATGGGCTTTCAGGGCATAGTAGCATCACCCTGTTATCCTCAGACGTTGGTGCTGGAAAACGATACTCCACTTCCTTGCTTTTGGCAGAAAATCCAAAGTCAGCTTTGTCTAGGGACTTAACTTTGGAAGTGATTTCCTTATTAGAGATGAGGGTGAACCCATCACGTTCTGTTAGTCGGTTCTGGGCTCCTCCTGGGAGGAGTCTTGACTGGAGTGAGGGGAATCTCTTCCGACAGCAGTGCCTGGCCAGGGTTCTAACGCAGGGACTGTTGGATGGCGCAGGGTTCGCGCCTGATGCTGTGATCCTGCCCTGCGGTTCTTAGCGACGCAGCTGCTTCAAGCCTCCCTTGAGGGTCAGTGGGGAGATGCCTGGCTTTGGAAGCTTTGCTCTCACTTTTGCATCACATGTGAAAATACTTTTGGAGATAGAGAACCAAATGAAAACACTCGCTTTCCGTGTCCTGTCACTGAGAAAGTATTTTATCTTAATATAATTGGTTATGTATTTTCCAAGACAGTGAAGAGGCATGTTTCATTTAATATAAGGACACTTTTTAAAAACATTGTAATATGTCTGTTTTATATGGTAGTGTCAGAATTTCCATAAGATATGGCAGTCTTGATTTGAGTAGAGTTAGGGAATATTAAAATAGTATGATAAATATAAATGTCACATAAAATTGCTTCATTTCAGAACCCAAAGTAGGTAAGTTGGTACTGTGGCCTTAAAAGCAACAGCCCGAACTGGGCCCGGCAGCGAGTGCACAGCTCTACCCCAGCGTGCAGGAGGCAGATGTTAGCTGTGCTCACAGGTGTGGAGACCTGAGGGAGCTGGGCCCGGCAGCGAGCTGCTCTATCTTCCCGAGTTCTTAGTGTTGTATTTGTTTAAATTGTTTTTGTAATATAGTAGTACTTTTTTTTTTTTTTTTTCTGGGTGATTCTAGGGATTGAAGTAGGATTGGACTAGGGCCTCACACATACCAGAGAAGTGCTTGGCCCCTGAGTTATCCCCACAGCCCATTTTTCTTATTGCTGTCAAACACAAAAACCAACTGGTAAAGTCCCTATGTGGTGTCATTGTAAGCGGGACAGCATATTGGGCTTGAAAGTCTGAGCTCTGTAAATGGCCTAATGTCTTACCGCAATTTTGTATCAAGTTCTCACGATCAGTTTGGATGCTTTTGGCTTAGTCCCTCCCCGTGTTACTGGAGAGGGCCTCTCATATCTGTCCAGATCTGTTCTCTTGGCTTGAGGTGTATGGCCGGCACTGCAGCCCGCCTCTCTGTTGGCGATTTGTGCTGCAGCAGGAGTGGCTGAGTTCAGCGGCCGCAGTTTCCAGTGCAACAAAAATGGATTTATGATGGAGGGTCGGAGTGGGGAGTGGGAGAAGCTGAGCCTGTGTGTGTCTGAGGCCTGAGCCACTGTTGGAGGCCATGTTGATGTGCGTGGCCCCTGCTGCCTCCTGAAGCCGTGTGGATGTGCATGGCCTGTGTCACCTCCGAAGGCCATGCAGTTGTCTGGTGTGTGCTGCTGCCTGAAGCCATGTTGATGTTCATGGGCTGCTCTGCCACTGTGGACCGTGTTGGTGACTGTCAGGAGACCATGCTGTGGTCCGTGGTGTGTACGATGCTTGAGGCCAAGTGGCTGCTCATTGTCCATCTGTGCTAACCAGATACCCCGTGTAAATCCATGATCTGTGCTCCTGCCAACTGTAAGGACAAGGAAGCTGCTTCAGCAGTGGTGTAGATGGCAGCACACTCGCGGTTGAGAGACAGAAAAGGCTTCTATGACAACCTGCTCACCCCCAAAAGGCAACAATCTAGACAGGAAGCCATTGAGGAGAACTCCTAAGAACTGTGAAGTGTAGCTCTGCACAATCATGGCTTCTGGCAGGACTGGGTGGGGAGGACCCGTCTAGGGGCTGGCCGTAGGCAGTTGACCATGCTAGAGTGACTGTATGGGCAACACGAATTGGACCTTTTTAAAATCTTTTTTTGCGGGGAGGCACAAGTGTGGGGGAGTAATGGACCTGGATGGTCTGGATACATTATGTAAAATTCTGAAATTCCCAGAAAATCAACAAAAATGTTATGTTAAAAGAGTTTTTCTTTGTGTTAGTCAGGGCTCTTTTGGTTGCACAAACAGCTGCTGACTCGGGCTACCTAGCTGGTGTAGGCCTCAGAGGGAAGTGGCTGAGAAACCTCTAGAAGAGGAGAAAACTCTAGGGATCTCGCTGGAAGTTAGAATCTCTCTTTTCTGGGTCATTGCCAGTAACTCAAACCTGCCCTAGGACCTACAGTGTCTGATTAAGAGTTAATGTTCCCCAAAGAAGGATCTGGTTGGACAGCTTCCGAGGTCACACGGAGAGGTCTGGGAGGGTGTGAAGCCATTCCTAGGCCAGGAGGAGCCCTCAGCTAGGGAGGAGGCAGCAGCTGGGAGGCGCCTGGGGTTTGATCCACCTTGCCAGGCTCTGTAAGAGTGTCCTTTCTGCTGTTAGTCTTTGTGTGTGAGGTGCATGTCCTCGCGTGTTTGTGTAGGTGTGGGTGGTGTGGACTTGTATGTGCATGGGTGCGGAGGCCAGAGGTGCAGGTTGACTGTCTTGGAAGGCGTCTGTTACAGGCAGCGGCGGCGCAGCGTGCATTGTGTGCAGAGTGAGAGCAGGCGCCTGTAGAGGGAGTGGACAGCCAGGGCTCTGTTTGGAGTCTGTTAATTTTGGGGTTCCTGTGACGTGTCCCGGTAGAGGCCGGAGTTGTGTGCAGCCTGGCAGACATGCAACACATGCCCTGTGGCTTCCTAAACCAGTCTCACGCCCTTCTGTTCTGTGCCAGAGAACCGGCTGGTCACAGCAGCTCTCGGCTGCTGTTCTTGGAAGTGCTGCAGTTCAAGATTGTACTTTAGGACACGTCTAATTATTCCTTAGAATTAGCACCAGCTCACCTAGATGCAGAGCGCCCTTGGCACAGATGCTTGCTAGACCACCCACCCCACCCGGCCCTTCTTTCTGTGTCAGGAAGTCGTGTAATCAGTCTGCAGGTTCTCCGTGAAATTACCCTGGACTTCTTCTGTTTCTATCTTTGGTTTTTATTTTAATTGATCTGCATCAAAAGATAATAAAACCACCAAGCCTCCCCTTGGCATTTTTAACAACCTGCGTACCGAGGGTTCATTTCTCAGAGGTTGCAGTCAGCCGAATGCAAATTTCCATGTGTTTAACTTTCAGACATCCACACGGAAGCAGTCCAGGCTGCTCTGGCAAAGCACAAAGAACAGAAAATGGCTTTGCCCATGCCCACCAAGAGGCGGTCCACATTCGTCCAGTCTCCTGCGGATGCCTGCACGCCTCCCGGTAGGTGTGTCCTCCTTTCTCTGTGATAGTTACTGAAATACTGCTTTTTCTTTCTGAGATGGGACCTGGAACTCGCACCCAGCATCAGTGACCTCAGGTGTGCGCTCTCAACGAGGCTGGTGGTGATGTCACCGTGTTCATGCCACGCAGCAAGGCAGGTGTTCTTAGACCCCTGCTGGCCGCTTTCTGCTGCACTCCAGCCTTTACTGCCTGTGATGTCCACTCTGTGTAGGCAGTAAACACAGGCCCTTCTGTGAGAACATGGCTGCGCCCGTCTCCTCAGTCGATGCTTCATCTCAGCAGCCATCGTGGGAGTAGGTGGACCTGGGACAAAATGTTGTGTCATTAGAGGTTTTAGGAGCACTTAATCCAAATTTGAAATAGGTCTGAAAAAATAGACGTCTGTTAATATATTTTTATATCTTTACATTTTTCCTTATAGTGAGATCCTGAGGTAAGTGGGAAGCAGACATCCCCCATCCCCACTCACCAGACTTGGAATCTTTGTTCCTCCCAGTGTAAATTTAGGAGTTAGAATTTCATCTGAGGACCAACTAGACAAACCTCAAAATTCTTTTCTGTTCAGAATTTTTTGACAAGTTTGTAAAACCTTAACTTTTTCCTTAGATGAAACACAAGGGGATATTTTAAATTATTTGCTTATTTTTAGTTTGTGTGTGAGTGTTCTGCTTGCATGTCTGTAGTATGTGCACTGTGAACACGCCTGATGCCCGGGGAGGCCAGAAGAGGGTAACAGGCCCCTAGGACCAGGGTTGCACACTGTTAGAGGCGCCGGGCCTGCCCCTGGGGCCTGTGTGGGAGCAGCACCTGCTCTTGACCCTGTCGCGCTTTGTCCAGGGCCCTGGAGGCTGCGCTGAGTGGTTGGTGCGCTCACAGCTGCCGCGCTGGGCTTCGCTTGTGGGTCCAGGGCTCCCGTGACAGTTTCTTCTAGGCTTTGGCTGACCTGTCAGAGCACTTGGGTTTGCTGTGGGCTCATTGGCTGTGTGTGCTTTCTTCCCTTCACATTCGTGGTGTCAGTATGTTTGAAAGAGAAATAGCTCTGTGGCTTCAAGTGTTTCTTCACATTTAACACAGGATACCTCTCGCAGACTTAGCACAATGGGGCATTTTGTGTCCATAGTGGTGCATACTTAAGACCCCCTCATTCAGAGTCTTGGATGGGTTCCCTTCCACATTCGTGCACTCTACAAGTTGGGTCCTTGGGCACAAAGGAGGCTCTCAGCCTGCTCGCCGTCTGCGTTGGCAGCTCCCTGCAGAATGGCCGAAGGCTCAATGTCAGTAAATGGCAAAGGGCAGGGAGCAGCACTACATGCAGCCTTCTCCCAGCCTCTGTCGAGGCCGTGTGGGCTCGGGGTAAAAGGCTGCTCTCATGGCTCTGCCTTAGAAGTGAGAGCACCGCCAAGGATGGGGAGAGGGCTCCCAAGGAATAGAAACCTTTTTATCAGCCCCTTCATAAAAGTCACTGCTGCAGGGGAACTTAGCAGCTCTCAAAACAAACCACAAAACTGTTCACTGCTGAATGGAACCATAGTCCTTGTAGTCTCCTGCAAGCCCCTGCATTTCTGAGCATGCATGCTCTGTTCTTGTAGAACCCTTGAGATGTAGCATAATGTTATTGATCACACTGCAGATGCTAATCATTCATAACAAGATGGAGTTCTCTCTCCTAAGACCCAACTCAGCAGAACAGTGTGGTCAGGCTTCCTGTCCACTTACCTCTGCTCTACAACAGGATTTGAAACACCTCCATATGCTTTTAGGGACATCTCTGTTGCAAGTAGAAAATCTCTCCCAACTAGAGGTGCTGAGTCCCTCCACAGCGGGCTCACACAGCCCAGCACGATCAGTTTTGGTGGCGTTCTCATCCAACAGTTCTGCGCATGCCAAGTAGAACACTTCGCTCCCAAGGGAGGGTGGGGCCTGTGTCGTGGGGATTCTGCTGGCACCTTTCCTGTCAGCAGCGGAATTTGCCATTCTCACTGGGCGTGATGGCACCTGCCTTCAGTCCCAGCACTTGGGAGGCAGAGGCAGGAGGATCTCTGAGTTCAAGGCTAGCCTGGTCTACAGAGTGAATTCTGGGACAGCCAGGGCTACACAGAGAAACCCTGTCTCAAAAAACCAAAAAGAAAGAAGGAAAGAGCCTTGGCTGCTCCTGCCCTGTTGCACTGTAAGCCACCAACCATGTGCTCCAGGACGTGTGAGCTCTGTCGCATGGTTACCACACAGTTTTATCTGGCTTATCAACTTTTGCTAGCCCTCAGGACCCAAGTTAAGAGGTTATATTTCAGCAGTGGAGGAATGACAGGATAGCTCGTCACTGAGTGCGTCTAAAGCCAGCTCTGGCCAGTTATCAGAATGGCAGCTGGGGTGGCTCTGTAGAGTTTGTTCCCCATAAAGTTTGTTCCATCATAAAGCCTGGGTGCGGTGGTGTAACCCCAGTACTGCATGGGGAGGAGGCAGCTGGACTCCCAGGGCACACTGGCCAGCCCACCACCCCATGTGTAGGGAGAAACTCTGCCTGGAAAGTTAAGGTGGAGAGCGATTGAGCAAGCGCACCCCTCATCTGCCTCCTGCGTGCACACAGAGCCTGTGCCACGCTTGCACAGTTGACAGTATCTCGGCGTGGCTCTTTGTACTCTGACTCACCCATACGTGAGGTGTGAAGGCTCTTCCCTCGTGTGCTGTGTTGTGTGGAACTCACTTCTGGGCACCGGTCATTGGTTGCTTTTCTTCTCAGGGTGCACAGTCACCTGGGTTGCCAACCAGGTGAAAATCAGAGCTACCTGATGAAAAGGGAGGAAAACCCTGAAATTTTGCCTTCACGTATGGTGTCATGCTGTAGGGAAGCAATGGCAACAGTTGGCGTGGGAGGTTGTTTGTATTTCTTCATGAACGACTCTCGACTCAAATGACTGCTGGCGCACACCCTGAGCTGCCGTGGGTTTAGGGACTTGAGTTCTCAGTGTGTGGTGATTCCTGGTCTTGGTGCCTGTGGCCTCTCACTGTCTTTTAGACTGCTTGCATTCCTATCGTCCAGTCTTGTGAAGCGATGAAATCCTTAGTGATGTCACAAAGCAGTTACCTCGCAATCTGTAAGGGTCTTTGTGTAATGCCGTGACTCATTTGTCCGGAAAACAGTGCAGACGCACAGCACTTGCTTACTTACTCTGTCTGTTTATGCATGCATCTGTGCTGCTGAGCTTTTTCTGCAGGCGTATTCCTTGCTGCAGTGAGAGGAGCAGGTGACCATCTGTGCCCCCTCAAGCCCTGCCCTGGTGGAGGCAGCTTCATGTGGCTGTGTGCCCCAACAGGCTCTTGCTTGGCAGCAGCGACTGTGGTCATTCTTGGGGCTGGAAGACAGGGAGAAATTTTCCTCTCCATAGTTTTGTTTTTAAACTTTTACCACACTCTTAATTCCGTTCTCTGTATTTGTCTATATAAAAATGACACCTGGGACACATTGGTGTATGGATAGTTTTTGTCTGCCTCAGGGGTGCTTCATGGAGTGATGGTGCCTCGCCCTGTGCCAAGGACTTTCCCACTGCCCAGTGCATGCATATAAATGCTTTGCGGAGTAGGAGGATCACGGTCGGTCGGTCCTTGAGTGACTTACTTATTTCCAGCAGCAGGGTCAGACTCCATGTTCTTCCTGATTGCTCAGTCTGCTAACTGTCACAGTGGGACAGCTGCTTCTGTGTGCTGTCGCCTCCTGAGAGCTGCCGGGCTCAGTCCCCCACCGCACAGCAGGCTTGGCTGCAGGAGGGACTTTTCTGTGGAGAGGCTTGTGTGCAGTCACCCACTCCATGCCCAGCTGAGACAACAGACTGCTCACAGTGCTTGTGGAGGATGCATTTCGTCTGTCCTTTTAGTGGAGTATGGCTTACTCGCTTTGCTGAACCACGGTCTAGACCGAATTTTGTCATCTGTCAAATGGGCCCAATGGCAGGATGTATTTTCCTTTCTTCTTCTTTTTTAAAGACTTTTACTTTTGTGAAGGTTTTGTGTGTACGTATATATGTGCAGCATGTGATCTCCTGGACCTGGAGTTGGACTGTTGTGAGCCCAGTGTGGGTGCTGGGACCTGAGCTTGGGTCATGGCTCCAGCTCTCATAGGAACTGTCCTCCAGGAACCCGTGCAGTTCATAGTGTCCTCGGCGTGTCATGTGGCTTAGGTGTCATTTTCATCCTTCTAAGTCTTAAAATTAGGGGGTTTTGTTTGGTTGAATTAAATAAATTGTTTTTATTGAATTAAAGTTGGTACAAAATAAACAGCTTTGGGGGTTGAGTCAGGGGTTTGACCCCAGATCGCACACCCTGAGCTATAGCTAGAGCCTAACAACACGCCTTTAGGCTGTGTACTTTGCTGAGTTTTAACATAGAAACGCAGTTAGGATGACAACCATCTTTGCATCCCTGGATCCCTCCTGGCCCTCCCCACCCTGGGAGCCACTGCTACTCTGCTCATCTCTACACACTAGTTTGCATTTTTCCAAATCCTTATGTGAGAGAGCCATACAGTTTTGTTTCCTTTTTACAGACCGTGGGGGAGGAAGGGCTGGCTTTTAATCAGCCATGTTGGACCCACCAACAGATTGCTCGTGGCTGTGTCAGGCTCCAGACATGAGTAGAGTGTAGCTCAGCCATCCAGTTGTCTGTACTCGTACAACCGGGTTGTTTTCCATTTTAAGCTATTATAAATAACATTCGTGTACAAGTCTTTGTATAAATGGATGCTTTTTTCTTGGAAAAATACCCCAGAGTGCAATAAATAGCGAATGCAACAAATGTTCAGAATTTCTGTGTGTATGGATGTTTGCCTCTGTGGCTGTCTGCATCCCTGGAGCTGGAGTTACAGACAGTTGTAAACTACCATGTGTGTGCTAGGACTCAAACCTGGATCTTTTGGAAGAATAGCCAGTGAGTGTCCTTAACTGTGGTTAAGCCTCAAGTGTTCAGTTTTTAAAATAAACATTTTAAATATAATGTCCACACATGACTAAAGTCATAGCAGTTAAGAACAGTTAGTAAACTGGGGACTTTTCTTTCCTTGAAAGTAATAAGCAGGTAACTTCTGTGTCCCTAACTGGTTACAAAGCAGCGGCAGGCTTCTGGTGAGCAGCATCGGCTGCTGCTGTTAGATCGCACCCCACACGGAGGGCGGACCTCGCGTTCAGAATTCTTTGCTGGGCTGCAGCTCAGCAGCAGCGCACCTGTCTCCCACGCAGCCTCAGTGGCAGCCCCAGAGCCGCTGACAGCCGCAAGAACAAGAACCTGTGAGCTGGGTAGTGACTCCTGACTCTGATCCCACCCAGCACTTAGGAGGCAAGAGGACTGGTTGTCATGAGTTCAAGGCCAAGCTCTCTAGGACTGTGAAACGACCCTTCTGGTGGCCAGAAGGTGTCCTCGGGTCCCTTGGAGCTGGAGTTGCAGGTTTTGGGACCCACTTGAGAAGGGTGTTGAGCTCTGAGCTTGGCCAGGAGTAAGGGCTTCTGAACCCCTGAGTCGTCTCTCCGGTGCCCTGTTTAAATGTTATCAGGGAAAGTATCAGATTCTGTGGCAGATGACAAAGACGGAGCATGTTGTATCAGTGCTCCAGGGCATGAGAGGGGTCTGTTGGTGCTCCCCAGCTCCACGCTGGCCCAGCAGCGTTAGGAAGGCATCTTTTCGTGCCTGGCTTTGGCCTCACATCACTGCCACTTTTGCCTTGTGTGCTTCAGCTAGTTTCCATTCTGTTAATATCGTCAAATGCCTTGTTTTCTGTTCCCCCATCCTTTCTTACTTGCTGCCACCGTCTGCTGTAGGGCCGGGCGTGGTGTTGAATATAAACAGTCTTCACAATGAGTCATCTTAACCTCAACTTACAGCAGAGTGGTAGACCTCAGGGTTCAAATGGAAGACAGAGCCTTGTTTTCCCCTCGCCTAAGCTGCTCCTTAGCTTTAAGCCATTAAACACCCAGAGGAGGGCCAGCAGGCAGAGCAGGTAATTGAATTGAAACACTACACCTAATTACATAATTGATCAAATACAGAAACATAATGCAATCAGTTTCCACAAATCCAATAATGAAGATACTGTTTTTACTGTCTATAAAAATTGATTTATTCTGGCTTTAGACTTACACAAATTAAAATGATACAGTAAGGGCAACTTGTAAATCCAGAGGCCTATGTGGGATTCTGAGATGGCACCCAAAATACTTTATTCTTGCAGTGAGAACGTCACAGGCCTTCCTGTCTCCCTGCCACCCACACTTTCTGGTTGTTTAGAGAATCTTTTCCTTTCAAGATAGAATTGAAATGTTACGGTATTTTTAGAAATTATTTTAAAATGCTTTCTTTAAATCCTGCTCTCTTGTGTGCTCCCTGACTGCTCCCTGTTATGTTATGAGCCTTTCTCCTGTAGGGAGTGCTTGGTGGCTGAAATCTCTGGGGCCTGTCTCTGTCCTGTCTCTCTTTCTCCCACCCCCATCTCATACCTCTCTGTAATGTACTCCCTTACATTAAAAAGACTTCAAACCTGGGCCAAGATCGGTCCTTCTCCCCGTAGCGTTCTTGGCCGATCTTCCCACAGCGTGTTGTGTTCTGGTCTGGGGTTGTGTATGGCCAGGACCACAGCGTACGGCTTTTCAATGGCATTCAGCCATCTGAGAATCCTAGGACCTCACATAGCCTCCTGAACATGCGAGTTAAGAACCATCACAATGCCTGGGCTGTGAGGCTCCTTTACTGTGAGGGAAAGCTTTGCAGGTGGTCCTGAAGACCATCTTCAAGCAAAGGTTGTGGCCTTTGCTTCAGCTTTTGTGTGCTGGGTTTAAAGATTAGACTTATGGATTCTGGATTACCATAATGGGGTTTTAGTGGTTCCAGTTGCCATCGTGGCATGTAGCAACTTTCCTGCCCTCTTCTTTCTCCAGCTCTTTGAACTACTGCATGTCTCGGGCCCACATATTTATCTGAATTTGGCAAAACATTTCTGCAGAATGTCATGAAACAGACGAAAACTGAATGGGACTGGGGTGGGGTAGTTGGGGAGTTAGCTTACACAGCACGTACGAGGCCCCAGGTTTTATTCTTAGCACTGCAGAAACAAAAGCAAAGTGAAGGAGTTCATACAACCCACAGGTCACTAATTAGCGCCGCCCAAAGTCATTCAGAAGGGTTTGTCCCAGGTCAGTGGTGGCTCTTGGGTGACGTGTGGAGTCCTAGCCCGAGATAGCTCCGGCTTCTCCCCAGCCTTGCCCTTCCTATGTGCAGTTGGACATCTGCTTTCTCAGGAGGCTGTTCTGATTTCATCTTGCTTCCTGAAGTCAGCCAGGCTCAGCTGAGGCAGCAGGGAATTCTCAGTCTTCTGGAAACCTCACTGTATCCGGTACCCGGCTAGCCTGTCCAATAGAGCAAGCAGCGCCCCGGCCTAATGCAGTTTCCCATCACCCAGCTCTGGCTCCATTTTCAACAGAAGTAGCTTCTGCATCTTCTACCACCATCCTTTCCTTTTAAGCAGAGACAAATATCCACAGGACCCTGCGTGGCCACCTGTCACAAGGTCCCTTTAAGCAGACAAACCAGAAGAATGTGGACAGCAATCTCAGAGCAGAAAAACAGTTGAGTTTGTAGAGGGTGTTTTTCTTTGTTGGTTGTGATTTAAAGTTTAACATGGTCTTCCGAGTTCAGCTGTTCTGCGGGTTGCGGTCCACAGATCTCTTCATCTCAGGAAACGTCCCTGCTAACCTAGCTTGAGAATGCTGGTGTTCCGCCACTGTTGGCCTCCAGTGCGCAGGCAGTGACCAAGAACCCCGAAAAGTCTGTGCTCAGGGCAGGATCGAGACTTCTCTTTTTCTGATTCCACACAGACACGTCTTCGGCCTCTGAGGATGAGGGCTCTCTGAGGCGCCAGGCCGCGCTGTCCGCTGCCTTGCAGCAAAGCTTGCAGAACGCCGAGTCCTGGATCAACCGCTCCGTTCAGGGATCGTCCACCTCTTCGTCGGCGTCCTCCACGCTGTCCCACGGAGAGGTGAAAGGGACCAGCGGGTCTCTAGCTGACGTGCTTGCCAGTGCTCGACTAGGTAGGAGTGGGGCCTGCCCAGGAAACCCACTAATGTCCCGTGAGGTACCCTGGACCAGGAAGTGATTTATGATCCTGTTAAGTTTTCAGTGTGGCCTAAAGATGCGATCACAGAGAGTAGCTAGTGAGGCGAGAAGGGAGCACCGGCAGTGCCCGTGTGCGGTCATGGGCATCGTCAGCGTTTCTGATTCACAGTGCTCACCTGAAGCCATATCTATTTCCATGTGCAGTCCTGAAGCTGCACGACATAACACCAGTCTGCCTATCCGAAAGGAGAAACAGTCCCTACGTCAGGGCTGCTGAAGCATGCAGCGCCTGAGGCCTCCCAGGAAGGCGTGTGTATCCCATAAAGCACACGTGTCCCGTCTGGGCAGGGGCTGCGCCGGGCCGCCGTCCGCCAGCCTGTGTCCTCAGCCTAAAGACTGGCGTTATGTTGCAGCTGCTGTGCCGCTGCATGGACTGTGTGCAGGCCGAGGGCACCTCCATGAGCTGCCACGTGGGGCGCAACTGTTGCTTGGCTCTGCTCTGTGTGTCTGTGCGTTTTGTTGTTTCTCTGTGGTCTCTGCTTTACTTACTTGGCAGGCGCTGATCGCACTGTCGCGCCCTTGTGCTGTGTCTGCTCTGTCACCCGTTTTTCTTGACCAATCACATCTCATTGTCTCAGTTGTCACCTAAGCAACCTTTCTGTATCACTTTATATAATATTTCAATGTGAATTCTGAAAAGAAAAGGCTGGAAAATTTTAATTTCTGGTTATAATTTTTAATAGAGCTATCTTGTGGGTATAATTGACACATAAAAAGCCACATGCCATCCATGGTGACCCCCCCCCCCCCGGTGCTCTTTGCTCTGCACTGTGTCCCAGGGCAGCCACGCACAGACATGCATGTTCCCTATGGAGAATAAGGAGCTGAGAATGTATTGATGAATATGTCTGAAAAAGAGCTTTTCCACTTGCAAAAAGAAATCCAGACACTTGCTTTCCGTTGTCTGGGTTTTACCAAGAGGGTTGCGCATGGCTCTCGGTTTTCAGAGACTATCCCATCCGGTGCTTCCGCTCTTGGATGTTAGCTCTCATTGATGTCATTCCTGCTCCTTAAAGAGGCTGCAGTCTCGTGGGGCGTGGTGCCACATGCCTTTAGTCCCAACTCTCGGGAGCATCTCGAGGCATCTGCACATATATGTAGTTCTGTTTCTTTTGTGATTTAGCCCACTGTGCCTTAGCCCCCTCAGCCTCTCCCTTATTTTGGACAATGAAATGCCACCCATGGCTTTCCTCCTACACAAGTTGCCCGGATGAGCGTGATGGGGAAAGTGCGAATTTCTAATCGGGTTCGCTGGGACACACCTGTACTCCCTGCATTTGGAAGGTTGAAGAGAATTAAGGCCAACTTGGGCTACATAGCAGGACCCCTTCTTGAAAAACAAAAAAACAGAGCAGGTGTAGTGACACACCCGCAACCCAGCGCTTGAAAGGCAAGAGAATCACAAACCCAAATTCAGGTGGCTTGAGGCACATGAGACAAAAAGAAAGCAGAAGAACTTGCCGCCTTTCTCGACACTCTGCACCACAGTGGACTCAGCGTGTGCTTCAAACTAAAAGTATTAAACTTGTGAAACTGATAAGCACGGGCCTCTGAAGCACAGAAATCTCACTCTTAACTGATCTTACAGTTATGTTTCCCCTCTTCATGGTTCTTTAGCGGTTTATCCTCGCATTTCCTTTTTCTCCAGAAGATTTGTGTGTGTGTGTGCTGTGTGCTTGGGAGTGTGTGGTGTGTGCATGTATGTGAGTGTGTGCTCAACCATATATGTGTGTGGTGTGTGTTTGTGTGTGTTTGCACATGTGTGTATGTGTGTGAGTGTGTGTGGGGGAGTGGCAGAGCTTTGTTCACCAGCTCTCTTAGCTGCTCACTTCTGCCCCACTGACACTGAGCAATACAGCACACACCTGTCACCCAGCAGGAGGGCCAGCCTGATGAGACCCTGTCTCAAAAAGTAAAATTCACAAGAACTTTTCGGTGAAGTAGCGTGCGTGGGTTCTTCTCTGCTCAGAGCGAGACCTCAACTTGCGTGGCTGTGGGCCCCACTGCAGGTGGGTCTGTCAGATTAGAAGGAAACTCATCTCATGTCCCATGTGGGCCCTGAGCCACTGCTTTGGGCTCCGAGGACTGCAGACTAGGATAGGCTGGGCACTCCCTCACTCTGCTCCCGTTTTCTAGTGAAACACTGACAGCTAAGATGACTCAGATTGTGAAAACTGTACTTTTGGAACGCTGATGTGCCTGGATGACCTTAGGCTTTGATTGGAAAGTCTGTTTTATGCCGTGAGATGGCCCAGCAGCTAAAGACGCTGAGCCCACGACTTGCCCATCCCTGGGACCCACAGCTGCCAAAAGCTGTCCTCTGACCTCCAGTTGTGTATCCTGTACACATGCATGTCCACACACACACACACACACACGAGTATAACAATAAACTCTTTTTTAAAGTTTGTTTTAAAAGAGTGAGTGCCTTTTATTCCTTCTCAAGCACAAGGTTTAGAGGTGGCCCTTTGCTGTCAATTCCGTATTGTCTAAGTTCTGTCTTTCCCTCTCTTAGAGAGTGTCTCCGCCCCTCCTGATGTCACTGCCACTACCCCCGCCTCCTCAATCCGCCCAGCAAGCGTTGACCTGCCCCCCTCCGGCTTTGTTAAAGGCGTGCACAAAGGGTCCAGCAGATCCAGCCTCATGGACACAGCTGACGGTACGCCCTCCGTGGAGGCGGGAGTGGCCCAGCCGCAGAGTCACTTCGCACACTCTCTCGGCTCTTTTTCACACTGGCTTCACAGAAAGGCCTGTGGAGCAGGGGTGGAAGAAGAGAACTTGCGAAGAGAAAGGGAGGCCTGGAGAGGCCCTTCAGCTGTGGATTCAGAACAGCACTGTGTTTGTTTTCTGTTGCCATAAGTTTGCCGTGTGTGTGTGTGTGTGTGTGTGTGTGTGTGTGTGTGTATTTGGTTCCTTTTGAATAGAGTAAGACTGGGCAAAGGCCAGGCTCAAGGAAGGAGGAGGGAAGGGGAGGAAGAGAGATAAATCCCAGAGTTTCAGTAAACAATGCATTTAGATCCTTAAAAGTCTCATTATAACAAAAATAACAAAACGCTTAAGTTACTTTTTTTTAAGATTTTTTTATTTATTATATATACAGTGCTCTATCTGCATGTACACCTGAGGGCCAGAAGAGGGCAGAAGATCTCATTATAGATGGCTTTGAGCCACCATGTGGTTACTGGGAGTTGAACTCAGAACCTCTGGAAGAGCAGCCAGTGCTCTTAACCTCTGAGCCATCTCTCCAGCCCCTAGTTACATTTTTTTTTTTTTTAAGAAGTAAAAATCAAGTGGGTGTGATAGAGCATGTTTTTAATACCAGCACTGGTGGAGGCAGAGGCAGGTGGATCTCTGTGAGTTTGAGGCCAGCCTGGTCTACAGAGTGAGTCCGGACAGCCAGAGCTGCATAGAGAAACCTCTCTCAAAAAACCAAAATCAAACAAAAAAGTATTTAAAGAAGTAAAGTCTTTTGAGGTAATTGAGGAAACAAGTATCTTTCTTGTCTCAATGAACTTTATCTGAAGTCACCATTTTCCCGTACAGGTGTTCCTGTGAGCAGTAGAGTGTCTACAAAAATCCAGCAGCTTCTCAACACTCTGAAGCGACCCAAAAGGCCCCCCTTAAAGGAGTTTTTTGTGGACGACTCTGAGGAAATTGTGGAAGGTAGTAATAAGAGGGCAGACGGCCGTGCTCGCTGGTCGGTGCACACTGCTGTCGGTCAGGCTGTGCTCGAAGGCTGCCCCTCGTGGCCCCCGTGCAGCTGCGCTGTGCCCACGGACCCTTCCTTCCGTGTTAGCGCTCAGGGAGACGGGGCCTCACAAGTGCGCTGTAATCACAGGCATGGCCTCGCCGTGGGAGACTATTTACTAACTGTAAATAGACTTACTTGACTGCTGATTAATTTTGGAATAGAAATGCCAGTGTCTTTTGGAAGCATGAAAGGGTGTGCCTGAACCCTGTGGAAAATGGCCTGCCAGGTGGACGGTCTCTGCAGACATGAAACATTTATTAAGAACCACTCCTGGGGAGCTGGGCGCCATGGTGCCCGCTTGTATCCCAGCACTGGGGAGGCAGAGGCAGGTGGATCTCTGTGAATTCGAGGCCAGCCTGTCTACAGAGTGAGTGCAGGACAGTCAGGGCTACACAGAGTTCTCTGTCTCAAAAAAAAAAAAAAAAAAAAAAAAAAAAAATCACTCCTGGTTGCTGGTGTTCCTCTTAAATTTGGACTAAATTTAAAGGTCAATAAGGGCCTGAAAATATTATGTGCAAAATAGGGAGTGAAACAAATATGTCAGTAGGACGAATCCACAGAACTGGATCTAAGCAGAGATTATTACACTAAGTAAAGAAGCCAGACCCAGAAGTAGAAAGACTGCGTCTTCCTTCTCGCAGTAGATTTGAAGGTGTGTGTGCAGGTCTTGGGAAAGAAGAAGGAAGTTTTATGGAGGTGGGATTCGAGGCAGAAGTGGAGTTCCTGTGACAGGAAGGCCGAAGAGAGCTATTTGGAGGGCGGGAGGGGGGTCTTGAACAAAGTTTGATGACATAGATGGATAGAAATGCTGTTACAAAACCCATTATGTCTGCTCACTCTAAAAACAGAGTAAGACAAACCTTTCAACTAAGTTCTACAAGTACATCGTCATAGCGAGTTACGAGGAGCATTTCCCACTTTCAGTTGTTTACTCTGAGCTGTTTTCTGTGGGGGCTTTGACTCCGTGCGTGCATGTGTGCCCCTTTCACGAGTTGTGTCCAGGGCATCAGACCTTCTGGTACTGCACTTCTGCACTGTTGTGAGCTTCTCCGTGGGTAATGGGACTTGAACCTGGGTCCTCTGCAAGAGCCTCGGGTGTTCTTAACCACTGAGCCAGCTCTCTGGCCCACATACAGCTTCAGCATGCCCTAGTGGTATGCACAGCAAAGCCAGGACAGCTCGGGTGACTCCACGCTCAGGAAGCCCGGGGGAGGGAGTGTCCCCAGCCGAGGTGGTACTGTTGCTGTCTGTGCCCACGTGCACTTCGTAGCTGTGTGTGGTTTTTCTTTCTCAAAGTGTTTTGTTGACACAAGAGTCTTAGTGGCATTCCTTGGTGGACTGTTAACTGGAGATTGTCCATGTCTCAGCCTCCTGAGCTCTGGGGCTGTAGGGAGGGCCATCATACCCATCTCGTTCACATTCTCCATTTGTCCCGTGCGCATCTCTGGGCAGGGTGGTGGAAGCCCCAACATTGTCCTTTCTCCGTGTGAGAATAAGTCACACCGAGGAGAGAGTTGTGCCAGAGGTTAGAGTCGTGGTAGGGGCCCATGAGCTCACTTCGCTTTCTTGCCCGTTTGCCACAGTACCTCAGCCAGATCCCAACCAGCCGAAGCCTGAGGGCCGCCAGATGACCCCGGTGAAAGGGGAGCCCCTGGGAGTCATCTGCAACTGGCCACCTGCCCTGGAATCTGCCCTGCAGCGCTGGGGCTCCACCCAGGCCAAGTGCCCGTGCCTGACGGGGCTGGACGTGACGGGGAAGCCAGTCTACACCCTCACATACGGTGGGTCTCCCTCCCCAGCGTGGTGGGCAGGTTTCTCTGGGGACTTCTCAGCTGAATGTGTCGGCTATCTCATTGACCTAAGCCATTCTCAGTGGCATTTGCCCCTAATCCCAGCATTTGAGAGTTCAAGGCCAGCCTGGTCTACAGAGTAAGTTCCAGGACAGCCAGGGCTACACAGTGAGACCCTGTCTCAAAAAGAAAGAAAACAAGAAAGAAAGTGTTATGTAAGGCAGGACGGTGTCTTATTTGTGTCAGGACAAGAGCGACTCTGTAGGATGACCGAGAAGCCTCTTGAGGAAGCTGCTGTCTTGGGGAGGGTGGCACAAAGTCCTCATGGCCACCGTCACGGTGGCTCTTGTCTTACCTTGCTGAACCCAGTGCTCTCTGGCTGAAAGGCCTGTAATGTTCTCTGCCCGTTGTTTTCTTTTCCCAGGAAAGCTGTGGAGCAGAAGTTTGAAGTTGGCTTACACACTGCTTAATAAACTGGGGACCAGAAACGAACCAGTGCTGAAAGCTGGAGACAGGGTGAGTGGTTGTGTTGTCTTGTTTAGAAAGGTGGCGTTTACTGATAACTGTATTCTGGGATTTTGGTGTATAGTGGTAAGATTTACATAGCTTTTAAAAAATGTTTATTTCTTTTCGTATGTTCGTGAATTGTCTGCATGCGTACCACATGCATGCTGGGTGCCTAAGAGTGTCAGAAGACAGCATCAGATTTCCTCAAACGGAAGCTGCAAATGGCCATGAGCATCGTGTGGGTGCTGGGAGCAGAACCCTGGTCCTCTGTAACTGCCAAGCTCTAGCCCCAGCGTAGTCTTAGACAAGACAGACAGTTTAATTTAGAGTTCCATCCACTGGTCTAGCCAGTACCAAGCCCCATGTGTGTGTTCAGAGCTGCAGGCCTCTTTCTGAAGCTGCTTATGGAAATGGGCGTAATGAAAAGAGAGATTAAGTCTGAGAATAAATGCTTTGTCCAGTCAAATCTTTGTCATTATAAACCTGGCTAATAAAACTGTTAAAGGCAACTTTCTGTCATTTCACATAGAAAGGAAAGGTAATCTTTGTCAATGAAAAAGCAAATTTGAAAGCCAGGTGTGGTGGCGCATGCCTATAATCCCAGTGCTCAGGGAGGCAGAGGCAGAGGCAGGTGGATCTCTGTGAGTTCGAGGTTAGTCTGGTCTACAAATCGATTTCAGGACAGCCAGGGCTACACAGAGAAACCTATCTTGGAAAAAAAAAAAAAAAAAAAAGCAAAAGCAAATTGATGTTTTATTTAGTTCTTAATTGGAAGTGACTTTTTTTGAAGGTTTTTTTTTTTGTTTATAATAATATACTGAATATGATTACTTTTTACGAGTCAACATCACTGTTCATTTATAATTTATAGAATGAAATACCAGCTGCTATACCACAAATTTGTAGATTGCCTTATTTATTTATGTCTTTTGTGGGAGGTGGGGTCTTAAGACAGCTCTCAGGAATGGGCTCCAGTTCTCCATACTCGCCGCAGACCTGGGCCATCATGTCAGGCCTGCGGGGCAAGCACTTTTGTTCCCTGAGCCATCCTACTGGCCCCAGCGCTCTTTTCAGTAGGCTAATGATCACAGCATCACTTAAACTAACCTTTAAAAAGTATTTTTCCCATTCCTTTATTTGTGTGTGTTTGTGTGAACGTGGGTAATCACGTGGCGGTCAGAGGGCAGCTTGTGGGAGCTGTCTGTCCCAGGGATCAAACTCAGCTTGTCAGGCTTGGAGCAGGCACCCTCACGTATTGAGCGTTTGCAGCGTGCCAGAACTGGATAGAAGTGCGGCTTTGCTTAGACAGGCCGACACTGAGGGTTTCCCGTGGCTCCCTGAACCCAGGTTTAGGGTGAGCGCAGCATTAGAGTGAGTTTAAAGATTTTGATTGCAAACCGAGGGGAAACAAGTGATTAAGGGCTGGAGCTCAGCGGATGAAGGGCTTGCTGTTTGTGCTTCACAAGTGGAGTCGGATCCCTGGAACTCTTGGTGGCAGAGACCGGCACCTTGTCTTCCGATCACACGCACATAGGCGTGCGCCCTGCCTCACGTGCACCTGGTCCACAAGCACTAATAAAGGTAAAAAGAAACTCTAAGAATGAAAAAGAATACAGTAGGACGAGAGTCCGTTGATGGCCTCCGTCACAGATTCTTATTACCTGAAGCAGCCGTTTAACCCCCGAGGAGCTCCCAGCCCCGGTCGGGGTACCCAGGGCCTCAGGGCTCAGTCAGAACTCAACTGCATTTGCCATGATCACCTCGGGCGTCTCCCAGTCTGAACAGGCTGAGGAGACTGGTGAGGAGTCTGTGCCTCTGACATTGAGAAGCTGAAGGAGAAGCACGGTGTGCTGGACAAGGAGAGCGCCCGGTTAGTAGAAGGGCTACTGTGTGACTGAGCCAGGGACCAGCCCTCTGCCCTCCACAGGTGCGGCGGCGGCAAGGGTGTCACAGACGCTGCTGTGACTGAGTGTCGCCTCCAAGGAGCTACGTCTAGATTTTTGATCTAGGCCTGCATGGCTGAGCAGAGCTGTGCAGATTTTCCCCACAGCCCACAGGGGCAGGTGGATAGGTCATGAGGAATGGGGAGTCCAGGCAGTACATTCATGGTTTCCAGATAAAAGTCTAGAAGCCCAGGGTTTTCTGAAGGGCCCAAACTTTGCAATGGGTCCTGGGAGAAGAGGAGGTTTGGAAGGGTAAGAGCTGTCAGTGCTAAGGTTTCTGAATGTGCTTGTGCATGGGTGTGTGTCACTGTCCTTTTTGTTAATAAACGTATGAGCAGTCAGGAAGAAAAAGCATCCAGCAATATGATTAGATTTCAGATGTTCATCTGCGAATGTCCAGCCGGCAGCATAGTGAGGTGCGTGCCTTTGCACCCTTGAGTAACAGGGGAGCTAAGTCGCCCCTGTGGCTCACACGATGACGCCACAGGCATGAACACACAGGGCTTTCCATGCTTTCTCGCTTATCTCTTGTTAGTGAGTCCAGTGTTACAGGTGCCCTCATGCTGGCGTCCTTGCACGCTGGGCGGCCGGGGATGATGCGGCGAGGTGGTGAGGAGCAGGCCTGCCTGTGCTCCCCGTGTGGTTCCTGAGTTGGTTATAGCTTCCAGGCGCTCCTCCACAGCTTTCATGGTCTTCTGCCATGAGATGCCCTCCACATTGTGGCTTTACCCTGCACTAAGGAGAATGCCCTTAGGCTTCCTAAGAACTTATCACGTGGAGAGCTGGCTGCTACGGAATCACAGCTAGGATTAAGTGAAGCTCTTTACCACAGTGATAATGAATTGCATTTAGACTTCTCAAAATGTATAAGTTGTATTGGGTTTGTCTTTGTCTTTTGGTGTGACTGGGGATTGCAAATGGGGCCTTATACAAGACAGGTCCTCACTAAGCTATGTCCCCAGTCCCCAGAATATATGGTATAATCATGGGGATGATGGTACTCTTGCCAGGTTTTTTGTCCTTCTCTGTCACTTAATTTCCTTCAGAACAAATAGCTATTAAGTTGTTTGATTTGTTCTGTTCATGCACAATGTTACATGTGCGGAGAGTTCATCAGTTTAAAAACTACTGTTGACTGTCTTTGTGAATTTTAGGTTGCCCTGGTTTACCCCAACAATGATCCAGTTATGTTTATGGTGGCTTTCTATGGATGTCTCCTGGCAGAAGTGATTCCAGTGCCCATAGAAGTACCCCTGACCAGAAAGGTAACACTGCTGTGTGTGACATGGGAGGCACCGCACTGCCACTAGAAGCCACTTGATTGCCAGGCGGTGATGGCACACGCCTTTAATCCCAGCACTCAGGAGGCAGAGGCAGGCAGATCTCTGTGAGTTTGTGTTCAGCCTGGTCTACGGAATGAGTTCCAGAACATCCAGAGCTGCACAGAGATACCATCACAAGCAGACAAACTGTCTCTGACGCATACTTCTAATCCCAGCACTTGGGAGGCAGAGGCAGCCAGGACTACACACAGAGAAACCCTGTCTCGGAAAACCAGAGAGAGAGGGAGGAGGGGGAAGATGGGGGGAGAGAGAAGGAGAGACGGAAAAAGAGAGAGAGAGAGAACATGGTGGCGCTGCGGCCGCTTTAGCTGATGGGATGGTGACTATTACGGGATACCATAATCCTCTCCTTAAATTGACTGTACTTAGTTTCCTAGCGCTGCTTTGAAGCTGGCATGTAAATTCTTCAGTGCAGTCTTAGGTTGCTTTTCCTGTTCCTTAAGGTTAAAATCTATTTCCTGAAAAACAGAAGAGTAAAGGAACATATGGATTTGATGTAATTGATGAAATATGGGCTTTGATACCATTTGCATTATTTGTGGCCTGACTTGCCTTACTCTTAGGTCTGAGGGTGTGGCTAGGAGAAGAAAACCGTGTTAGAATTTGGTTCACTTGTAGAGAGTCAGAGAAGGTCACATTGCTAGTAGGGTGCATCCTTAGCAGTGTTTGGTTGCGCTTAAACCGTGGCAGAGATTCTTTGGAGCCAAGTTGTCCTGACTGCAGCGTTTGCCAGCTGTCCAGGCCCCGTGGCACAGTGGGCGGTGCTGGGGCATCTCTGGGTGCTGGTCCAAAGCGTGGTGTGCTCACATTCGCTCACGCGCACCCTGACTGTGCTCATTATTTTTTCTCCACAGGATGCCGGAGGTCAGCAGATCGGCTTCTTGCTAGGGAGCTGTGGGATTGCCCTGGCGCTCACCAGTGAGATTTGCCTGAAGGGCCTGCCAAAAACCCAGAATGGAGAAATCGTGCAGTTTAAAGGTGAGTGGCACTCCGAGGCAGATTACCAGCCGAGAGTTAAACTGCACGTGGGTTTTTACATTCTCAGTCATTTTGATGGAGGCAGTGGCTTTCCGGGTAAGAAATTGAGAAGCAACTCCCAAGTCCCGGCTAGGAAATGGCAAAGTAGTGAGTTGAACCCAGCCTGTCTGATTCCGTAGCCACACTCGTAACCTTTGTGCTACCGGCCAGAAAGGCCAGCTCCCCCTGTGTGCGGTAAAGCTAAACCCTGTGCCCAGGGGCAGTAGGACACGGGTTGCGTGGGCTTCACTGACGTCCAGTCTCATGGCTGTTGTCAAGGCCTGCGGTTAGCATGTGGAATGAATGCTCTCTTGAAAGAAGCTGTAATTGGCCATTGATCACGAAAACGTAATAAAAGTGAAGTTTTTCCTGAGTGTGACGTGCTCTTACATGTTGTCTTGACATTCAAGATGACTCGCTCAGTGTGGAGTGCCTTGGTGGCGGACAGTTCCATTCTCACTCTGGGTCTGCTTTAGGTTGGCCTCGGCTCAAGTGGGTTGTGACCGATTCCAAGTACCTTTCGAAGCCTCCCAAAGACTGGCAGCCGCACATCTCGCCGGCAGGCACAGAGCCAGCGTACATCGAGGTAAGCCCGAGCGAGGCATGTGTCCTGGCTCTGCTTGGGCCTCAGGGGCAGTGCTGGTGAATGTTAGGAGATGTGCCCTATTCTGGAAAGTTTCAGTTTTTAACCTTGTGAATGCTTTATATTGGATCTTCTGTTAAAATTAATTTTGAGGCAGAGTTGGAGTTACTAAAATAATATAGACTAAAATAATATAGACTAGAAGCATAAGGGTTAAGAGGAAAAGAGGTGCCAGGAGGAAAGGAGGGCACAGCCGAGGGCATGGGCATGGGCGTGGTCTCAGAGGAGTGACCACTTGTCAGGAGCCGGGTGAAGACACGGAACCTGCAGAATGAGGGGAAAAAGCGATGCTGGACAGTGTGGGGACCTGCTTGACCAGCCTCACACGGACTCCGCCTCACAGTGCTCAGGCGAGGGCTTTCAAGTCCCTTTTTTTATTTCATACCCAGAGACGGTTAAACTTTTGTTACATTTGTTGTTGTTGTTTATTTTCCTCTTTTTTAGTAATGATTTTAGTTTTATTATAAAACTCAGCTTTGTTGATTCTGTACAGTGTATTTTGATCAAATTAATCATCTTCCCTGAATTCTCAGATGTGTTCTCTTTCCTACCCACGCAAATTTGTGTCTTTTTTTTTTTTTTTTTTTTTTAACTTTAAACCCATCACATCCTTCTTGTGCTGCCCATATACTCTTGGATGTTTGGCCTTACCTGGAATGTGGCAGACCTACCAGTGGGGTACTGAGGGCACACCTTTCACAGTGCCCTCGATTGCCAATCCCTTAGCCGGGGGACGGGCGTGGTGCCCGCCTTGCCTCTCCATGCTGGGATTTTGTCTGGCTTGAGCTTGAACAGTCCTTGTTCCTGCCGTCATAGCTGCTGTGAGTTCATATGGGCAACCTCCATGCTGAGTGCGGAACACGCTTCCCGTGTCGCCATCCGCTAGCTCTGATTCTTCACCGTCCCCACACCCCCTGTTCTGCAGTGATCCCCGAGTCGTGGGAGGACGGGTGTGATGGAAGGGTGCTGTCAGGCGAGTGCTCTGCATCTCATTCTCTGCACCTGGACCAGTGTAAGGGTGTGTCAGTCACCGTGTGCTGCCACAGACGTGTCTGTGAGGAAGGTTGACACACCAGCTCCTTCCTGTAAATCTGCTCTGTGGGCTCGGGGTGGCTCAGTGGATGCAGGAGCTTGCCGCCAAGCCTGAGGGGCCCGAGTGTTGCTCCCAGATCTCACGAGGTAGAAGGAGAGAGCTGGCTCCCACAGGTTGTCCCCAATCTCCATGTGCGTATCGTGGCATGGGTGCCCCCAGGAAATAAACGGTGTAAAGACCGTCTGTGCTGGGCACAAGGGGGCTGAAGTGCAAACCGTGGTCACGGGCGAAGGTCGCATGGCTGACATCCCACGCCTCCGTTGCTGTGCCCTCTCCTCTGCAGCCTCTTGAGACACACTCACCAGCCCCCTGCTAGAGTGATGAGTAAGCACGTCCGTTGAAGGTGTGAAAGGCTGAGACCCTGTGTAACAATAAGCGTGGGTGAAGACTGAGGTCGCTCTGGCCGTGAAGAGGGGCTTGTCTGTGATGTTGGCTGCAGAGGGTAAAGCTGGGTTTGGGGGCTCTACTCAGTGGGGCACCTTCAGTTTGTCGCTCAGCACAAACGTGGTGTGTCATTCCACGGCCTGGAAACAAGCTGCCGGGTCCCTGGATTGCTCTCCCTTCCCAGTGAGCATTGCTGCATCTGGCCCTTTACACACACCGTGGCCTAGCGGCCCTGGCGACTTGTAGACCTGCCATGCTCTGTATTGCTGTCTGGGGTCCCTTTGCTTGAGAGCCGCATAGTCCCCACAGGATTCCACTAGTGAGCTGCAAACCATTAAAGGGTTGTCAGCAGGAGGGAAATGAGAATGGTTTTATTATACAAAGATCTCTCTAGGGTCAGCCGATGGCTCCGCAGGTAAGCGCTTGCCACTCAAGCTTGACAAGTGTGACCACAAAGCTTGCACAGAGCTGGAAGGAGAGAGCCAGCTCAGAGACTTGTCCTCCAACCTCTGCACGGGCTGTGTATGTGTGTGCTCTCCCCATGCCATACACACAGTAATAAGTAATGGGTCTAAAAAGATTTATCTAGATTGGCTGGGTTAGAAATGGTGCATTAGGTTTTAGGTTTTCCTTTTATATATATATATGTATGTATATATATACATATATATATACATACATATATACATATATATATACACACATATATATATATATATATGAGTGTTTTCCTGAGTCTCCATAAGTAGACCATATGTGTGCAGTGCCCATAGAGGCCAGAAGATGGCATCAGATCCCCCGGATCTGGAGTTCTAGACAGTTGTGAGTGCTGTATGGATGCTGAGAACTGAACTGGGTCCTCTGTAAGAGCAGCCAGTGCTCCTAACTTCTAATCCATCTCTCCAGCCAGAGCTAAAGGGGATAGTAAAAGAGGACTGGATAGGGCTTAAAGATGGTAGGGAAGTTGAGTAAGCCAGATTTGGTGACTGATCACGAAGAGAGAAGCAGGAAACACTCAGCTTCCTGATTGGGCACCTGGAGTACGGCAGAGCCCCTCAGTTAAATAGAAGACATAGGAAGAGTCCGGCAGCAAGTGGCCTGTACCGTTAATCCCAGCACTCAGGAGGCACAGGCAGGCAGAGCTCTGTGAGTTCAAGGCCAGCCTGATCTACAGCGTGAGTTCTAGGCCATCCAGGGCTACATAGTGAGATCTTGTCTGAAAAAGAGAGAGAGTGAATACAGAGCGCTCTCTTGGGTGGAGGTGGGGGTGGAATGGGTGTTGGCAGCCTGCTTTCCCATGGCTAGAGGCATTCCAGCAGCATGCTTGATGCTGGGAGTCTAGATCTCTGAAGGAAAGGTGGATGGGCAGACAGGCACGAGTCAGCAAGGATGCAGCACCCTAATGGCGTGATTCGAGGAAGGCAGTGGGAGCTCTCGGGAGTGCAAGCATTTAAGGCATAGTGAGAGGTGATTCTGAGTAAAATAGCTCAGGAGAGTCCGAGGCAGAAGTTGCAGGCAGGCCTGGGCTACATTGTGAGTCCTTGTCTCAGGGAGAGGGAGAAAAGCCAACTGAGATGGTCCGCAGTGAGGGGGAGACCAGGAGAAGAGCTGAGGGAGTCAGGTGGGCAAAGATCTGGGGTAAACTGTGCAGGGCACCTTTTTGATCCGACGTTAGAGAGGCTGATGAGCTTGGTAAAAGCCACCGGGACAGAATGCCGAGGATACGAGCACAGTGGAACTGCTTACAGGAGTGTGCAATCCCTGCGCACTGGGTCCCTGCCACCGACCCAGGTGCCCGTCTTTTTGGTTTTGGTTTCTGTGGTACTGGGGGATCAAACCCAGTGCCTCACGCAGCTGGGCAAGCATCCTTCCACTGAGCTACAGCCCCAACTTGGGGGCCACATCTTCCACACTTGTCACTGGAGAGCTGTGCCTCCCTGCACCTGCCGCCCCGCATCTGCAGGTTCCGTGTTCAAGGCTCCGCCCAGGGCAGCTAGCAGCCATGGTGTGTTAGGCCTCATTGGCAGAGGCAACCTGGAGTCTGTGGGAGGGTGCACACAGGTTGCATACAAACACGTCAGCATTCCAAAGAAGGCGTCGAGCATCCGTACCATGTGGTATCTGGGCGGCATCTGGAACCATCACGTTGTTCCTGAGGAGCGACTGTGTTTGGCATTATGCTTCTGTCCATACAGCTCAAGTCACATGGCCTCAGTGTTGACCGCGTCACATTGATGAGTGACTAACTTTGAAGTCCTTTTACAAATGCTCCCGTTGGCCTTCAGTGTCCTCTAGTCTTGGCTTTATTTGAGCGCAAAGCCCTAAATGTTCCCATTCAACATGCAAAATGAACTGTTGTGATGATTTGTCTGGGTTTAGGTTTGGGCTCTGATTTTTGTCGTTTATAATACCCATCTTATTGTGCTTCTTATAGTTTTGTTTTTGTTTTATTTTCCTAGTATAAAACAAGCAAAGAAGGGAGTGTGATGGGAGTTACAGTGTCCCGGCTTGCAATGCTGTCTCACTGCCAAGCCTTGTCACAGGCCTGCAATTATTCTGAAGGTCAGAGCTCATCCCGTGACTGCCCTCATTGTTCGCTTCAGATACGCGTGACTGTGAGCGCTCAGTTGGTGATTGGCTCCATTTAATGACCAAATGCAGAGGGAAATGTTCCAGTACACATTCTTGGCTTGCATTTGCCTTCTTTAAAAAAAAAAAAAATCTGTAATTTAAATAAACTTCTGGACAAACCAGATATATAAAGTATGCTTTCTAGAGTACTGAAAGAGAAAGCCTTAATTAAAACCATGTGTTTGTCAGCTGTGGGGTCTTGGGTGTCCCCATCTTCACATGTAGACCTTCTAGCTAAGTCTTTACAATCCAGGCATCCAGCCCCACAGGTACAGATTAAAGCAGCATTCTGCACCGGCTGATGTGGGCCACAGCCGTAGTCCTGGCACTCCTATCACAGGCAGGAAGTGGTAGTTCAAGGCCGGCCTGGGAAACAGTGAGCTCTAGGCCAGTCTAGAAGATGAGACCCTGTCTCCACACTAATAAACCTTTGGTGTGTAAGTGTATGCTGCACAGTAAGAGTCCAGGCTGGCCTCCAAGTCAGGCCCCTTTGTGCCAGGGTCACAGTGATGGGCTGCCAGGTATGGCTTCAGTATTTACTTTCAGATCTTTTTCACAACAGTCATTTTTCAGTGGTTCACTTCCTTTTGCAAAAGGAGAGGTGACTGTGACTTTCAGAGTGGCATTCCTTTCTCATTTGAAAATGTCACATGCACATATGAAAACAATCAAAACGCCATAGACAGGACTCAGTCAAGTTACAGTATGTCCAGCGGGGCACCATGGCACACACCTGTGAGCTCAGCACTTGGAGGCAGAGGGAGGGAGGTGAATCTCTGTGGGTTTGAGGCCAGCCTGGTCTACAAAGTGAGTCCAGGATAGCCAAGGCTACACAGAGAAACTCTGTCTCAACCGCCACCCACCCACCCCCGCCACGCCCCCCCCAAAAAAGTTACACTGTGTTCGTTCAAAGGTTCTGCCCTGGGGCACTGAAACTCAAACTCCTGAATGTTAGAAACGTGGAGAAATCCATCATTGAGTGAAAACAATTAGATACAGGCCTGTGTATCTACTCTATTGATAATTATCTCTGGATATATCTAGAAATGGACATGTATATCCTTAAGGTTTTTATATAGAGCAATAGTTCATGTTTTCCTAAGAAGTATAATTTTTATATATATATATATATATATATATATATGTGAAAATGACAGTATCTAAAACAAACACATGTTCCTTATTTCACACGTGCTAAAGGGTTTCTAACTCAGTGTCTCTTGTGTGACCCCATCAGACTGTCACCATCCTTTGGCCAGTTTGTCAGGGTGTCAGTAACCAGGAGACTCTGGTCTCCTAATGTTTTTCCAAAAGCACCAGCTTGGTGGGGCCAGGAACATGACTGTCACTGCTGACCACTCTCCTTCTGTTTCCTCCCACCTTTCCCTTCACAGGAGAAACCGTGGTAAATGTTTTAGACTTTAAGAAGGACGCTGGGCTGTGGCACGGCATGTTTGCGGTAAGACGTTCAGCGTTGGGGCCTTGTCCTATGATGCACTTCAGGCTGGGGCTCTAACACGCGCCTCTCCCGAGGTTTTTGACTTAAGTTCCCAAATATCAGTAAGATTCTAGAGCACACACAACATGAAGCCTTGAGGGCGATCCCAGACCCACGGCAAGCCAGGTGCGAAAGTAACTTCAGCGGGAGCCCGGAGGCAGACGGGAGCCCGGGGGCCCAGGGGCCCGGAGGCAGACGGGAGCCCGGGGGCAGACGGGAGGCTGGAGGCAGACGGGAGCCCGGAGGCAGACGGGAGCCCGGAGGCAGACGGGAGGCCGGGGGCAGACGGGAGCCCGGGGGCAGACGGGAGGCCGGGGGCAGACGGGAGGCCGGGGGCAGACGGGAGCCTGGATGCAGACGGGAGCCCGGGGGCAGACGGGAGCCCGGGGGCAGACGGGAGGCCTCAAGCTCGAGCCCAGCTGGCCTGGGATAGCAGTTGTGCACAGCAAGAACCTGGGTTCGGGCTGGGGAGGTGGCTCAGTGGTTTAGAGCAGCTGCTGCTCTTTCAGAGGAGTGGTGTTCCCAGCACCTGCATCAGGCCGCTTATGAACATCAGTGGCTCTGGTTGAAGAGAAGGAACACACACACACACACACACACACACACACACACACACACACACACACACTGTCTCTCTCAGCAAAATAATTAAAAAACAAAAAACAAGAGAGAGCATCCAATCCAACCTCCTTGGATGATGTAGGACTCCACGAGGGAAAAAATGAAAAATGAGTAAGAGGAAAAGCCTTTTCACCCAGGACCATATTGCTCCCATTTGAGAAGAGCTATATAGCCCTTGAATATTTATTTACTTATTTTATGTTTTTGGTTTTTTGAGACAGGGTTTCTCCGTGTAGCCCTGGCTGTCCTGAACTCATTTTGTAGGCCAGGCTGGCCTCGAACTCACAGAGACCTGCCTGCCTCTCCTTCCATGCACTGGTGTAAAAGGCGTGCTTGGCCTTTTGTTTGTTTGTTTTTCAATCAGAAGTTGACAAAACAGATTAAAACAATGTGAGGACTTGAGGGGTTTTCTCCCTGTAAACCAAGAGGAGCTAGAACCTCTTTTCCTGACACTAAGTTTGTGCCAGCACTAGGATGCGGGGAGCGGACCTTGCATGTAAGCTCGTGCAAATGCTGAGCAGGGTGGCTGACCTAAGTACTCAGGCTTAGTTGGGGGTGGTGACTGATACCTAGTATCTCAGTGCTTGGAAGGCTGAGGCAGAATTGCCATAAGTTCAAGGCTAGTCTGGGCTGAGAAGGGTCCCAGCCAGGTAGGACTGTAGAGAAAGGGCGCCTCAGATGCACATTCTCCCAAGAGCCTGTTAGTGCGGCACAGGTCTGGGCCTCTGTGTTCCTGATCTGAAGAGCAAGAGGCACAGCAGCTTACCTGCCCCTCGGTTCTTTCCACTGTCCTACAAACACTCACCCTGTCAGAACTGGGGAGTAACTTTGTGCTTTGTAATGCTGTCCCGTTTTTGTCCCTTTCCCCTCTGTGGTATGTGGCAGGCAGGATCAGTAGGCGGGTGGGAACAGTTGGTAGCAGCCACCAAGTCCTTAGAAGCCGGGGCCTGACGCAGCAGGGCTTCCCCTGTGCCTGCCCTGGAGAAACAGAGGCCCACATGCCCGTGGGCACCAGGGCAAATGTGGCGTGGCGGCTGTGCAGAGGGAGCTAGCTCGTCCTCTTGGCCGGCAGCTAGATTTCTCTGTGAGCCACCAGGAGTAAAAGCAGCAAGAGGCAGACACGCACACTCTGCTGCCTTCCTCCTAACACACTTCCTGGTTCTAAAGTCACACATACATGTCCAGGCATGGGCAGTGGACTGGAGGGGTACTGTGGTGCTCTGGAAGAGAGCTCGGGTTAGAGAGTGGCTCTCAGAAGCCCTTGAGTGCTGTGCTTGTGTCTCCAGTGCTTTCTGAGAGGGGGTGCTGCAGCAGAGGCCTGTAACATGGTTAGCAGCCGGGCAGTACAGCTGTAGTTGCTAAATACATGCTTTGTATTGATTGCTTTTTTGGTTCCTTGTTTTTCAGAATGTAATGAATAAGATGCATACAATTAGCGTACCCTATTCTGTCATGAAGACCTGTCCTCTCTCTTGGGTCCAAAGAGTCCACGCGCACAAAGGTAATCACACACACACACACACACACACACACACACACACACACACACACAC